CCTCAGCTTTTGCCATTTACAAAGGATGTTTCGCTGCTTCACCAGTGTCTTGCTGCTGAGTGTGCTAAATACATAAAGGATGTGGTGGAAAAACCTAAAAGTACAGACTATGGAAATCTTGCTAAAGTAACTTTGACACAGGTTGTACTGTTTAATCGAAAAAGGCAGGGGGAAGTTTCAAAAATGGAGGTCCAGTCTTTTACATCCCGGAATCGCACAGAACTGAATCCTGACATAATGAAGTGCCTCAGTGAGTTGGAGAGGAAGCTTGCCAAGCACTTTGAAAGAGTTGAGATTCGTGGAAAAAGGTCAAGAATGGTGCCTGTCCTTCTGACACCTGATATGATCACAGCAATGAACATCCTTGTGGAAAACAGGAGTAAGTGTGATGTCCCCACAGAGAATGTGTACATGTTTGCACGTCCAGGTGCACTTTCCCATTACAGAGGCTCTGACTGCCTTCGGAAGTATGCAAACCAATGTGGTGCAAAGAACCCGGAGGCACTCACATCAACAAGATTGCGGAAACAAGTTGCCACTTTGTCCACGGTAATAAATCTAAAAGAAAATGAAATTGACCAGCTTGCTACATTCCTTGGACATGACGTTCGGATCCACCGAGAATTCTACCGGCTTCCAGACCGTACTCTACAGCTGGCAAAAGTCAGCAAACTGCTGATAGCGATGGAAAAAGGGAAACTGTCTGACCTGCAGGGCAAAGGACTGGATGACATTGACATACTTCCTGATGGTAAAATTTAGTATAAAACATCAGTTGCCAAGAATCACATATAAGGTGTGTTTGGCCTTTGATTTTAATACTTTTTCTTGACCGTTTTTACCCAAACAGATAAGGTTGACACAACTGACAATGATTCTGATGAAGAGACTATAGCTGACCCACATCAACAGACAGGTAATATGGTTTGTTTAGTACCTTTTTATTACTGAAGTTCTGACATTGAACATAGTTTAGTGATACTTGACTTCATTATTACTTTTTCAATGTTCAGGAGCTGAGACATCTGGGGACCAGAAGCACACACCTGACTCTATCACATTGAGCAACATAGAGGCCACTTCAGATTCAGTCACGTTGGACCACTTGGAGGGCACGTCCACAAAAACCATCGTCAGCATTGAACCAACAGGTGGTAAAATATGAAATACACCCAAATATTATGAATGTAGTGAATAAAATAAGTGATTGTATGTTTTATAAAAAAGTGGATTATTTTTAGAGATGTGTATATTTATCATGATACATAATCTTTTCAGATTCACAGCAGGACACTGCAATTAATGTAGGTGCATCTTCTTTGAAAGGCTCCAACAAAAAGCAAGGTAAAAAAGAACATTTTAAATTCACACTCCTGTCTAGAATATCTTATATTAAATAGTTTTCATCATTATTATTCTGCAGTAAAGACATTTTATTTTGTTTCTGTTTATAACAGCTGGGAAGGGGAAAAGCAAGTGGAGAGATGATGAGGTGAAGGCTGTTGAACGGCACATGTTGCATTTTATAACRAGCTGCAAAGTACCAGGTAAAAAGGACTGTGATGCCTGTCTCCAGGCAGAACCAGTAGCTCTAAAAGACAGAGACTGGGCTGGAATCAAATACTACATTCATAACAGAATCGTATCATTAAAACGGAGGATGAATAAATAGAAGTATTCGATCTGAGGTGCAATTTTATAAGTGACAGGGAATTTTATTTTCATTCTATGCTTTCATAAGGTGTTCAGTTCTGTAAAATTTGATTATTTTTTTATACAAAAATGTTTTTTCCCCAAATGTCCAGTGGTTTTATTTACAGCACCTGTTCTAATTTCTTTCAGAAAATAAGATACATTCAAACAATGCACTTGGTTGATAACAGTTCCTTCATAGACCATTCTTTAAAGGCTGTGTTCAACATTACTTTGTTGCTGGCTACCTGTTTGTAAATGTGGTTTATGCATTTTTTCAACAAATCCTCTGTAATCAAAGTCATAAGCTTAATTAGTGTAAACGACTACACATTTTTTCAGTCAAAATGTCTAAATATGCTGTTTAAATAACAGTGGAAATTTTATTTAAGTAATAATGACATTTTATTCATTTGMTTTTGATTTTTGAATAATACAATAAAACTTTATTGAGTTTACATTTGTTGCCAGCAATTAAAAAAATCAAGAAAATCAGTGTTCTGTTTTTTCTTTTCCACATGAATTCCATCTGCAAAATTCATAAATGCCATACAATAAGGATTAAACAGTAAAATTACCATATTCTTTGACTATGTCTAATTCAAATCCCTGAACAACTCAGTTTTATTCTCTTATAATAACATGAACATATGATTTCTTTCAAATGTTACTTGACTGATGAGTGTGATGAATACMCCTATGGTTATTATGTAAATATATTTCAAACAGGCCATGTTGCAAATAAAAATGCTGTGGTTATCTGGTCCTCATAAGTCACTTATACTGGAAACTGTGTGTATTGGGTCTCATAAGTCACCTAGACCTGAAATGTGTGARGTTAGCGTACTCATAAGACACAAAAACCAGTTAAGGTCCCCATATGTCTTATAAAAATCAGGAGCAAGAAAAATGTAGCTCTATCTAAAATCTAAATAGATGAATGTGTTCCTGGAAGCATGGATAGAAATCCTTTTGATTCTCAAGCCTGTAGACCCTTTGGAAAGGCACGTCCCCAAATGTCCTATATTTGTCATACGTCCTCATTTTTCACGAAAACACGTATGTGTGTGTGTGTGTGTGTGTGTGTGTGTCATCAGATTTGTGTTTTTCTTTCTTTAATGAGGAGTTTTTACAGTCGGTCGTCTCCTGATCCGTCTAAACCGGTTAGGGTTGGGGTTAGTTGTTCTCTGAAGTTTCAGTCCTTCAGGGATCAAAGAGTTACATGACATCACCACTTTCTTTTTACCTTTTTAAAATATTTAACCTTATTTACAATCTTCTCTCATTAAAATGTATAAAGATCCTAAAATTTTCAGCAGCTGTTTTTACTGTTTCTTCATGTTTGAAGTGTCTTTAAGACATTTAGTCATTTCTACGTCTTTCTACATTTTGTCCCTGAAGTCTCATATCATAGAGCTAAAGAACACTAGAGTGAGCGTGTCCATGTCCCGGCTGTGATCTGTCTCTGTCTGTGTCCAGGAGCTGCAGCGGGACATGGAGCAGCGAGCAGAAGACGTGTCCTCGGTGCTCAGGTTGTGTGACGTGTTGCTGAGTGATGAAGATGCTGCAGGTGCAGCAGAGGAGGACAGGCGGTCCCTGCAGGAGACCAGCTGCAGTCTGGACCGGAGGTGGAGGACCATCTGTGCCCTGGCTCTGGACAGAAGACTCAGGTATCATCAGTTCACCTGCACTTACCTGTAGAAAACACTGGACCTGGTGTAAGAACTGAGGGTGTGAACAGACTTGTTCTAAGTTGTGATTCAGAAGAACTTATCGTTCAACAACGTTCTCTTCTTCTAAGATTTCCTTCAGATAAGAACAAAACTCACCTGTGGTTTATTTTACCTGCAGGCAGTCTGCTGGGCTCCTGATGGGTTTTCTTCACTAATAACTTTATATTTCATTAGTTGGAAGATATTTAGAGTTGAAAATAAATCACACTCCATAATTATGTTGACAAGAGGNAAATATCTTGTGGCCATGCATTTTAAATATCTTGTGGCCATGCATTAAATATCTCGTGGCCATGCATTAAATATCTCGTGGCCATGCATTAAATATCTCGTGGCCATGCATTAAATATCTCGTGGCCATGCATTAAATATCTTGTGGTCATGCATTAAATATCTCGTGGCCATGCATTAAATATCTCGTGGCCATATATTAACCAATGAGTGGTCACGAGTTACAATCTCATTGCCTGCATGAATTTCTTTAAAATTTGCGGATGAGTTCCTGGAGGGTGTTTCATGAAAACAGTCCAGTTGAATAATTAAATCAGAGAAAAGTCGTGTCCCTCGTTAACTCTCACCTGAAACTTTGAACGTTTGGATTTTAACCGACAACTTTCTGAACTGGATGTCTGATTTCTGGTCCACATGTCTATAATAACAGTCCAGATGAACAAGTCTTTGTTGAATAATTGTAAAAGCTGTGAAGCTGAAGACGTGCCGTGTGCAGGAGGATGTGGGTTAAATTCCTGAACTTTAAAAGCTTCTCTCTGTCAGGAACAGAAGTGATGGGATCAGAGTTCCACCTGAGCAGCTGAGCAGCTTCTTCATGTTGATGTGGTCTGTTTGGTTGGTGGTGGTGGTGGTGATGATGACGATGATGATGATGTGTTTTGGTGTCAGGGTGAAGAAGCTGGAGGACACTCAGGTGACGCTGCAGCAGCTGGATAAGAACATGAGGAACCTGCGCTCGTGGCTGTCCCATGTGGAGGCGGAGCTAACCAGACCCATCATCTACAGCGTGTGTGAGGAGCAGGAGGTCCACAGGAGGCTGGCAGAACATCAGGTCCACAGCAGAGCCCACTTCTCCTGCCTGCAGGAGCCTGTAACTCCAGAATGTTCCTTCAGAACTCCCACTGCTTTACACAACGTCTCATTTCTGCTTCCCTCTGTGTGTGTGTGTGTGTGTGTGTGTGTGTGTG